TGTAGGCGCACGACTGTCTGGTTCGTGCTACTGGCGAAGCCGACCAGGTGCCCCAAATAGTGAAAACTAAGTGAAAGATGTATATGTGAAGACACACGAAAAATATCGGATACCTGACCCGAAATCCTGAAAAACACAGAGAAATCCGCCGCTGCACTTCAGACGGACATCAGGAATCTGAAGGGTTCAGCATTCATCCAAAACCACTGACCTTGGGTCACGATCTTGGTGATCGGTGGACAGCGAAAAAATCGTACGAACCTTTCTCGGCCTTTTGGCTAAGATCAAGTGTAGTTTCTGTTCTGATCAGTTTAATATCTGATCCGTGGTCCATCGGACCACAAAAAAAAAAAAATAAAAAAAAATCGTACGGACGCACCTATATGCTGAATCCGTCCCCACTGGTACCTCTACTTGGACCATTAAGGGCCACCTCTGAAAACACTTTAGTTGTTTATGTAGGAGCTATTGCTGTTCTTTTATTATTTGTGTTTATGATGCTAATGCAAGGAAAATGAACAGAAGCCAGATGACAATATTCAGATTGCACAATCACATTGAAAGCCAAATTGTAACACAGTGTTCAGGAAGCAGCATTGCACCAATATAACACCTATGGAGAATCGTAGCACTGAAAGTCAATGTAAATGAGATCTTGCTCTTGCCACCACCAACATATGTATCCAGTCTCTATTTCCCTACGGACCCTACCTGGTGCTCGGCGCCCAACCTTTTCACTACACAGCTACTACTAGCCTACTATTTGACATTGCAACTGTTGACGTCAGCAGCACCCGAAGTACTTGAAGATGTTGCGCATGCAGAACCATCGCCAATACCAGATATGTGCCCTCACATTATCATCATCATCATCATCCTTCTCTCTCCCCCTTGACTCTCTCCCACGTCTCCCTTTGTTGTACACCTGAAGACCACCCCTGCGCCTGTCTGTAATCCAAGCCCACCAGCTATTGTGGATGGGCTATGGCACTTCCCTCAGCAGCGCCCTTCTCTGCACGATTGCACGTGCTGCACCTTGCTTCTCAGCTCCAGTAGCAGTCCATGAGCCTTTGCTCCAGCAGCGCTGCCGCTAGGATGCGAGTGCCTGAATCATGCTGGCTGGGTAGAGCTCTTTCCATATAGGAAAGAGCTGGCCTGCTGGCACAGCCTGGCTGGGCTGGGCCTGGGCCCAGAAGCTTCCGGTAGGCCCCAGGATGCTGCGCTTTTCTGCAGCTACTGGATTTTTGCCCAGGGCTTGCATTCTTTGTAAAAGCCCGGAAGGCCGTGGAAATGTCTTTGTTGCTCGGCCTGGTCTCCTTTTAACCAACTGACGCGTCGCAACTGCCTGGACTCACAATCAGGAACGCACAATCTCTGATTCCCTGCCTTCTCAAGAAATAGAAAGTCATTTACCATCGTGAATTCGTCGGAAGTTACTTTATCTTTCGCAGGAAATCTACGAATGATCTCAAACATAACTGAATCTTGCTGAAAGGCTTCCACCAGTGATCAAGTGAGTTCGTCAGATATGCCAAACTCGGATACCACGGCTCCCAGATAATTTGCCCTACGTCATAACGCGTCAGCGACCTTGTTGTACTCTACCTTGATTGGATCAAGCTAATAGTCATACATGTCTAGTACTTGAATTCACCTCTTGAGTGCATCAAAGAGTACCGGTTGTATCTTCATTTAGCGCAAGGTCTCATGGTCAGATCTTACGTAAAAGAATCTGCCAAGGAGATAGTGTCTCCAGTGAACCAGCGTTCTATACAGGGCATAGAGCTCACGTTCGTAAGTGGACCTGCCTAGTTTTTGAGATGGCATCTTTTTACTCATATTTCGATCGGTCTCAACTTCCACCCCCCCTTTTGCGCAAGGCCCGCGCCTATGCCATATTGGCTGGCGTCTGTGGTCATGACAAAGGGCTGATCAGGGTGCGGGAGCTTGAGGACTTTATAGTGTGTTAGAGCATACTTCAATTACTTAAAGGCTGCCTCACACCAGTGTCACACCCCCGTTCACGGAGTTCACGACACGAGAGTTCATGGAGTTCACAGAGAGCGTTTTTTTTTTTGTTTTTTTTTTTTTGGCTGGGGGGTATGTGTTGTTTTTTATGGGAGGGTGGGGGACATCGAAAGGTAACTCCCTATAGTTTTTTCAAAAAAAAAAAATCAGGAATATTTTTTTTTTGATTAAAAACGAAAAAAAAAAATTCAACCAGCCAAAATAACTTTAATAAGCATTTCTTTTGCTATTTTGTACGTCATTTCGATTTCTTTTTTTTTTTTCAATGTCACCACGCTGTGGGGTTTGAGGCGAATGTACCTTGGGGAGCCCCCCCCCAAAAAAAGAAAAAAAAAAAACACCACTCTTTAGTGGTCGGCGCGTTCACCGTGAACGGCCGTTCACCAAAAAAACACCAAATGGACGGCTGGTCACGTTCAAGTGACCGGTGCCGGTCACGTTCAAGGGTCCGGCACTGGCTCACACTCTTCTGTCCATTTCCAAGGGGTGTCAAGTCGAGTTAAATCTGTTAATGGGGTAACTATAGTACAATAGTTCTTTACAAATAGACGATAACAGCCCGTCATCCCTAAAATCAATCTGACCTCAGTGGCAGTCTAAGGTCTAGGCCAGTCACGAATGCTGATCACCTTTGCATCGTCTGACCTCAACCCATCTGCTGAAGATCTTGGTGCTACCAAACTCGCATTTCTCCAAGTTAACCTTGTACTGGTGCTGTCTTAGGAGACCTAGCACTATTTTCAAGTGCTCAACATGCTCCCTTACAATCTTACTAAAGATGAGGATATCGTTGAGGTACACGACGATAAACTTATCTAAGTAATCACACATAAAAGATCTTGTTCATTGCGTGCTGGAATGTCCTAGGCGCACTGCATAGGCCGAAGGGCATCACCACAAACTGGTACAGACCGTACCTGGTCTGAAATGCGGTTTTGTGCTGGTCCTCGTATCTAATAGCAATTTGATGGTATCCGAACTTTAGATCTATTTTAGTAAAGTACTAGCATCCTTGCACTTTATCCAGTAGGTCGTCGATGCGGGGTAGGGGCTCTGCGTTCTTAACGGTGATGGCATTGAGGCACCTATAGTCAATGCACATCCTTAGTGTACCTCCCTTGTTCGGTACGAATAAAACTGGGGAGCCGTAAGGGGACGTACTAGGACGAATCCATCCCTTCTCTGTGAGTTCCTTGAGCTGGCGGCAGAGTTCATCCAACTTTGCAGGAGACATCCTATAGATCCATGCTTTAGGCACCTTACTACCTGGGACAACCTCTATTGCATGGGCCTGTGTATCTTTTGAACGGAGAACGGGCGAAATTCAACGGTCGTTCATCCGTTTAACGGGCCCCAGGACCCCCGATAAATCCCGTTTAACGGAAAAACGGGGGCTTGACGTGGAATTCCGAAAAACGGAATTCTCACTTTGGGCCTCGGACACGTTTGCCTACGTGCCCGAACACTCAAACCTGAAAAAAAAAAAAAAAAAATCACCCCCCTTTGACATCGCCACCCAAACACCCCTAAAGGACCGAAAAACCCCTATCTGACCCAGAACACACCACCCGGCCCCTCCCCCCAACCTGCACATTCCCACCACGACCCCCAACC